CTAGAATGATGTTTGTGATTTTGTTGCACACAAAAAAAAGTGTTAACTGTTTGGCTCACATTTACCTTGTGATCCACTATGACCCTCAGATTCCTTTCTGTAGAATGACATCCTAGGCAGTCATCTCCCATATTGCACATGTGTAACTGAGCCTTCCTAAGTGCAGTACTTTGCATTTGTCCTTATTGAATTTCATCCTGTTCACTTCAGACCATTTTCCAGATGATTTTAATTCTATCCTCCAAAGCACTTGCAACCCCTCCCAGCTTGGTATCATCTTCAAACTTTATAATTGTATTCTGTGCTGCTATGAAATCATTAATGAAAATATTGAACCGACCTGGGTCCAGAATTCATTCTGTGCTGCTCAGAATCTGTCCCTAATTTTATCATACTAATGTGGCGCCAGTTAGGCATGTAAAGAAAATGAATAGAATCTTTCCAAGTGACCTACTCCAATACCTTCCTTATTAGCAGCTAAAGGCATAATCACCAAGTCACTGAATTATTGCAAGTGATCTGTTAGCTCTGCCACTGAGGGAGCCCATCTACCTTAACTAATACAGCTTGTTAGAAGCAGTCCTGTGAGGCTGATTAACATTATAAGCCACAGTTCACATGATGCAAAGAGCCTTAATCAACTTCCCTAATCAGCCCTTGATGAGACATTTTGTAATTTCTGGGTCCAAACTGCCCCTCTAAAGGATGGCTTTGTCTCCTTCCCATTAACCTGTCTGTTCGATAGACAATTTCTGGGCAAATTGCAGGGGACACACATTTTGTCCCTTTGAGGATCAAATTAATAACTTTCCTGGAGCCAATGGATTGTGTAACTCAAAGTGGATCAAATAGCAGCTGCCCTTGCTCTAGTACCAGCTGCAAACTACAGGTCTCAGGATGCAGTGCTGTATCTTAATGTGAGCAGCGTTTCCCAAAGTGTGATCTGGGTTTAGGGAGTGCAAGGGGCAGCAGGAAAAGGACTGCGGGGCTGGGGGAGGAGAAGCAGCCTGGCCTCTTGGCTGTCCACTGAGACTCTAAAGGACCCTTTTGAATGAAATTCTCTAGCTGTTATGGTTTCAAAGGAAACCTTAAAAATAACCATGCTGAAATGATGCAGCGACATTGCCTGAATTTGCATAAAGCCTGGAGCAGTAGCTCAGAGTTACTTAACTTAATTTCAGTGAGTACCAACTCCTGTGCCAATGAGGATATTTTGAAAGTCTGTGTTCATCTCTTTGCATCTCAAACCTGGGGGTGCAGAGAGTATCCTATTATGAATGTCTGCTCATCTGTGTTGAGTATCCACTCTTCGGGGAGGGCCTTTAGCAGCAGATGGCTGCATTGAAAGAGGCTGCAGTTGGTTTCCTTTTTCTTCGAGACAGCTTAGCTTTCAATAGTTGGGGGAATGTTGCATCAACCTGCCCAGCTTTAAGACTAAAGGCATCAGGCAGTGTGGCCTAATGTAGAGAACCCTGAATTGAGACTTGGAGGTCAAGGCTCTGTTTCCTGCTCTGCAACTCATCTGCTGGGTGACCTTGGGAAAGTCACCTCTCCTGTCTGTGCCTCAGTTTCCCCATATGAGAAACCGGGGATGATGCTTTAAACAAGCACTTTTTAAGATCTAAGAATGAAGAGCCTTATTTAACGTCTTTTTAAGAACACGAAGATATCTCACTCCCACCCTGTTTTGGGAGTGTATTATCCTGGTGCGTCCTCTCTGGTACAGTATTGGTAGTTGGCCTGAACGGTGCTTGCTGCTGTTATGCATAGCAAATGCCAGCCCAGTCCTACAGTATCTTACTACATCTCTCTGTGTCTCGGTCCTAGTCCCCTTCACCTGTTTTTCTTACTCCCCTCTTCCGCATGGCAGGAGGCATGTGAGCGCAGCTTGGCGGAGATGGAATCTCTTCACCAGAAGGTCATGTCAGAGCTCCAGCGGCACCATCAGTGGGAGCTGGAGCGGCTGCGGCAGGAGAAGGAGCGACTCCTGGCTGAGGAGGCAGCAGCTACGGCTGCAGGTAAGCATGAGAGCCCAAGTGCCTCTAGACATAGGGGAGATGGGATTCTTGGTGGACAGGGTGGCCATTTCTCCTCTTTCAAACTTTCCTTGGAGTCTGCTTGCCTCTTCCCTTGGAATCCCTGAGCCCTCCCGTTCCCGGAATGTCTCTTGGGTCTCTGTTTTGGAACTCATTCTAGCAGTGCTCCTCCAAAGCACTGAGCATCTTTGGCTCCTGTTGACCTTAGGAGGTAGCAGCCTCGCTGGGACCAGCCCACATGTATAAAGCACAAGATTGCCTTCCTGCAGCACTACGGCTCTGTGGTCCAATAGATAAGGCATTGCTCTGGGAGTTGGAGTGACCTAGGTTCTAGTCCCAGGTCTGCCACTCACCTGCTAGCTGACTTTGGCAAGTCACTTCCCTTCTATACTTTTGGTCCTCCCCTGACTTTATAAATCCTTTGGTAGGGACTATCTGTGTATGTACAGCACCTACATCTTGGCTGAAGCTTCTCTTTCATTGTAGCAGTCATCTCTGTGTCTTACTGCAGCCCTTCCCCTTTAGACTCTGCAAGGGGCTGGGGGCTGGCTGAGATCCAAATCTGAATGAATGAGAACTTTGAAAAGACACATGGGTGAGAAACGCTGTGATGAATATTTCTCACCCCCCACCCCCATCTGTCATGTTCTTTGAGGCCTCCTTGGCCCCAAAGCTCCAAGAAGCCTGTGCTGTGTATATGCCCCCGTGCTGCTAACTCTCTCTCTGAATAGGCTGCTGCATCCCTTCAATGGGCTCAGAATAAGTCTGGGAAAACACCATATCGAGGGAGGTGGGTATGGGAAGGGAGGTGGTGAATGCGTAGCTTCACTAGCAGGGACCAGCAAGACAGTTACAATGTCCTTCACTTGTTAGCCGAATACATGGTCACGTGGCTGAGTATCCCAGGCACGTATGAGGCAGGGTTTCTCTCCTTCTGTCTATAAACCCAGCCACCTGGATGGGAGATGTTATTGCATTTATAAAAAGCAAGACCTGTGCCCCAGAAGCCCTTTTCTCTATGCCCTCTTCCCCGCCCCCTCCTCCCCTCACTTGCACACACATGTTGGGAGTTGGCCTTAACCTCCACGGAGGAAAGGGAATCTCTGCACTGCCACAGGAAGCTTCTGGCTGCAGTATCGCTCGGGAGCAGTATACGGGCTGCCTGCTGTGGCTTGGGATGGTAGGAGTTGGTGTGGAGCAGATGCCTGGGACAGAATGGAGGAAGAAGGAAACTTGAAGCTGTGGTTGGTGGGAACGAGGGCTCAAGATCTGCCTCTCTTCAGTTCCCACCACCCTCGGTGCTGAGCTGGAGCGTGACACAGTCTCTCAGGACACTTACTCCACATTTCCTCTTCTCCCACTCACTAGCAATCGAAGCGCTGAAGAAAGTGCACAAGGAGGAGCTGAACAAGGAGGTGGGCAGGACACGCCATGTCCAGCTGGGCGGGTCAGGTTCAGAGGCTCTCCGGAGACAGCACCAGTAAGGAGTCTCTACACAGTCCCTTCTGCCCTGTCCAAGTTCCATGCATGTTAGGGTGCTTTTTAGACAGCACTTGCTCAGTGGAGCAAGGGGCAGGGTGTGATCCCCTTCAACATTGGGCTGAAAGGTGGATTTTTATATTCTAATCCACTAAACCTTCCAGCTAGGCTAGAAGCCAATGCTGGCTGCCTCCGGGGAAGGGGCCACTGAATGGGCACAATGGCCTGAGCTGCTAACCATGAGAGCAGAACATCACCTCCCTCTAATGGAGAGCTCAGGGAGGAACCAACAAGCAACTGTGTCTCCTTCCTTCTCCCTTCGAATGTTTTGCTTCTTTCCTCTCCCAGCTTCAGCGGGCCCCTTCCTCTGATTACTAGCTGCTTGGGGAGTGGGGCTTCTGAGTAACAGTGGTGGCATGGGTGTCTCCATGTGGGTGTGGGCAGGGGCAGTGAGTGGTGTCTAGCCAGGGCAGAGGGCAGTGATGGTGAGAGATCAGGCCCCGGAAGGGGACTAGGGGAGCCCTTTCTCTGAAGTCCTGTTCTGGGCAGCAGGTCGGATGTGGACTCTCTGAAGCGGGAGCTGCAGGTTCTCTCGGAGCAGTACTCCCAGAAGTGCCTGGAAATTGGTGACCTCACCCAGAAAGCAGATGAGCGGGAGCAGATGCTGCAGCGCTGCCAGCAGGAGGGGAAGGAGCTGCTCCAGCAGAACCAGGCAAGAGACACACTTACCACTTACCCAGAGGGCTGAGTCTTATGTACAGCAGGCTGGGAGATCCCAGGGTTATGTTGACCCTGGGGCCAGGAATCCCTTACCAAATAAACTGCTGTCCAAAGCCAAGTAGGAGATGGACCCTGTAAGCTGGAGTTGGGGGAGGGGAATGCATCTGCCCATGGACACATGCACAGTCCCCTGATGACTCTGCTCTGGTCCCCAGGAGTTGCAGAAGTGTCTATCTGAGGAGATCCAGAGGTTACGGACCTTCATCGCCTCCCAGGGCACGGGGGATGGGGCCTTGCACAACAACGAGAGGAGCTCCTGTGAACTAGAGGTAAAGAGGCCTGCTGGTGCTGCTTGGCCCTCTTCTGCAGCAGGCCCAGCTGCCAATGGCGTGCACTGGACACCCAACTTTCAACCCGGCTGCCTGCCCTGCAGTACTGGCTCTGTTGGATTTCAAAAGAGCAGCAAGGTGCGCGGTGGACTTGGTTAATCTGACGCCTTCAGGGGGCACGAACTCGCATGAAGCAGAGGAGCTGATGGCACAGGCGCGGTAGACTTGGTTAGTCTGACGCCTTCAGGGGGCACGATCTCGCATGAAGCAGAGGAGCTGATGGCACAGGCTTCCCTCGTGCAGCTTTGCCACTGCATTTCAACTCTAGATCTGCAGCACTTCCTGGCTCTCCCTTCCTCACTCCCTCCAACACACTGCAATGATACCGTGCGTCTCAGAGCGGTCCCTGGAGTGTCTCTTCTCCTCCTCACAGGTGCTGCTTCGAGTGAAGGAGAACGAACTCCAGTATTTGAAGAAAGAGGTTCAGTGTCTAAAAGAGGAGCTTCAGATGATGCAAAAGGTACCATTTCCTGAGAGCCATTTTCTCATTTCTGGGAGCTCATTGACTGAGGGGAGGGATGGAAAGACTTCACGAAGTTGGAGCCAAGACCAGGGAAATCATATGGAGCATGAAACCTGAGCGGGAGTGGTTTGGGCCTGTAAGTCGCCCCATCCACACCTAGGCCCTCCTCACCATTATTTCCCCATCTCCCTCACTATGGTGTTGCCAGGAGAGAAGATGAAGCTTTCCTGAGAGCCCTAGTGCTCCCTTCCCTGGCCATCAGTGTAGGTGCTATGTCTGTTTCTGTTTTAACTGTTCTGAGTGAGGTGGCTTTCACCACTTCCTCTCTTAAGAGACTTTCACAACTGAATGGGTCTCACCATAAAGGGAACTCTTCTAAGATCCAGCCAATGTCCCGTTGCTCTGAGTCACAGCCCCACTACCCTCCTGGTGACACAGCTGTCTACTCCCCTACTTCCAACTCTGAATCCACACACCGCTTCAGAGGGGTAGCTGACTTAGTCTGTAACTGGAAAAAACTTAAACAACAAATAGTCTAGCAGCACCTTAAAGACTAACAAAACACGTAGATGGTATCCTGAGCTTTCGTGGGTACAAGAAAACCCACTTCTTCAGATGAATGGAGTATTAAAATCCAGTTCCAAAATAAATAGGGGACGGGGTGGGGGAAGAAGAAAGGGGGAAAAATAGTGAATTAGAGTGTTCATGTTACATGAAGCTGGTTCCCTATTAATTTTGGAACTGGACTTTTAATATTGCATTCATCTGAAGAAGTGGGTTGTACCCACAAAAGCTCATGATACCATCTACATTAGTTTTTAAGATGCTGCTAGATTATTCATAGTTTAAGTTTTTCCACATATAGCTGAACAGCTTGCAGGAACCTGCCCTTCCGGTCCATAATGGCTTGTCGCTCTATAGCTGCCCAGTCCTCTCATTTCAGCCTCTTCTCCACCTTTCTCTGAACTGCCAGTCTGAGTTGCTCTCCATGGATGCCATGCGTGTCCCATCTTGTAGGGGTCTGTATTGTGCTCCCACTGCTGGCCTGGCTGGCTGAGACTCAAACGCTTAAGTCTTGCTTTCCTCCTGGTGGCGGCTGCCCTCCCCTGGGATGAACACCAGGCACTGGGTGGTGACTCCTCACCTTCCTCTGCAGGATAAGAGATTTGCCTCAGGGAAATACCAGGATGTCTATGTGGAGTTGAACCACATCAAGCTGCGCTCAGAGCGGGAGATTGAGCAGCTGAAGGAGCACCTGCGCCTGGCCATGGCAGCTCTGCAGGAGAAGGAGACGCTGTGTAACAGCATCAGCGAGTAGAGGTGAGCCGCCACGAGCTAGCTGCATTGTACAAGAGCCCACCCACAGCACAGATGAGTGCACCTTATGGGCCAGCGCGGGAGGGAGGGGTTTGCAGTTCCTCCAGCACCAGGGAGGAACTCTAGGGCGAGGAAGGACTGGCCTTGTAATGGGATCCTAGGCAAGGGCTCTGTTCTCTGTGTTGCTAGCCCATTAAGTCTGTTCCAAAAGTTCCCATTTAGCCAAACCTTCCCCCTCCACAGAGACTCTGGGCCTCTCCTGACAACGGTACGGTGAAGGCAGAGGAGGGGGATTAAACTGGGAGCCTGTTCCGCTTGCTGGGTCATGTCTGCTCAGCTGTGACTCAGGAGCCAGCGCTGTCATGTGTGGTGCTTGCTGGATCTGATCCAAGGGAAACTTTTTCCCTCCTTTGTGGTTTCTCTTCTTGCTGGGACCGCTCAGCACAAAGGAACCCTCCTGCTCTCTAGGCCCTGCTTGCGCCTACTGGTGGTGCTTGTGGGGTGTGAGAGCAACTTGGTGAGGAGAGGAAGCAGTAACGCCCAAGTGCTGCTCTGTTGCCCCTTTTCTGGTAAGGGGATTGTTGCCTGCACAGCTGCCAAACAGAGGCACCAATGTGCATATGGGAGGGGTCCCTGACCTGTCCCTGCCCACCAGGGGATCTGATTGGCTGTGGGCCCACACTGCTGCAGTACAAGTAGTGCCACTAGCTGGAGTCTCAGAGTATATGACCCTCCCCTGGATTTGACGAAGTCCCAGAGTTCTGGGGCACAGTGGCTCTGAAGTTCTTTAAGCCACTGGTCTTGATTTTTATTTTTATTTTTAATTTCCTCCTTAGGTTTGTTTTGCTCCATTCCTCACTTGTGGGGCGGGGGTGGCTGCATCCCATCCATTAACACCCCTTTGAGGAAACCAGCTCCCATGTCTTTCACCAGTCCCCATCCCATGCCTCTGCATATCTGAGCACATCGTTTGGACTGGCTCCTACGTGCACCTTCTTCAGGATTTTATATGTGAAAAGATATATTTTATAGATACGTCACTTTTTTTGTTTGTTTTTTGTTTGTTTTTTGTGGGTGGGGAACATTTTAAATCTACAATATCTTTTAACCAGCAGCTGAAGACAGAAGAAACACGGATGTCGCTCCTGCCTCGAGCACTCTTTGCAGGGTGCATCCATGGGGCCTTGGGGTGGCCCTCTCCCCTTTTACCCCACACCTCCAAACTGCTTTGTGAGCCTGCATGGATGTGCTGGAAGGACCGTGCACCATGAGACACAATGTGGTTAGCCATACGGGAGAATCCGTGTTCTGCACAAGTGCTCCTGGACCTCTGCAAAAAGCAATGTTGGATAGAGCGCATTAAAGCCTTTGGGGACTGTACTCTCACTCTGGGGACTGTATTGAAAGCAGGTTGCTGTACCCATGAACCATGTCTGTCCTAGGGCAAGGCCAGTCCCTTGGAGGTTTTGGAAGAATCTGTCTCCTGCTAGCATACTCCCAAGGAGGAGTAGGGGACTCTACCTGTGCCACTGCTGTGTCTGCCGGAGCCAAACAATGAAGGCAGCGGCTGCCCTTCTCCACCATTAATAGTTTAACTTAATAAAATCTTCAGCTATCAGAGGGGAATAGATTATTGTGTCCTCACAGAGCAGAACTGTCCCTCTCCCCAGCACCCTTTAACCTTCATAGGGGGGCTCTCCATGCCTACCAAATATGTGGAAGGCTGGGTTGCAGATCATGACTGGAGGATAGGGCCTCTTCTGCCTTGCCTAGATATGGCAGAATGCTAGGAACCATTAAAAAAAGGATAGAGAATATCTTCTGGCCTCGATGTAAATCCATGGTACACCCACAACTTGAATACTGTGTACAGATGTGGTCACCTCATCTCAGAACAGATATATTGGCATTGGAAAAGGGCAACAAAATGATTCGGGGTTTGGAACGGGCCCTATATAAAGAGAGATTAAAAAGACTGGGCCTCTTCAGCTTAGGAAAGAGGAGACTAGGGGGGATATGCTAGAGGTCTATAAAATCATGACAGGTATCAAAGTGAATAAGGAAAAGTTATTTATTTGTTCTCATAACATAAGAACTAAGGGTCACCAAATGAAATTAATAGGTTTAAAAGGAAGTTTTTCTTCATGAAGCAGAGCCAGCCAGCGGAACTCCTTGCCAGAGGATGTTGTGAAGACCAGGAATTTAACAGGGTTCAAAAAAGAACTAGATAAATTCATGGAGGTTAGGTCCATCAATACTTATTAGCCAGAAAGGGTAAGAATGGGGAGTTGGAAATGGATGACAGGAAATAGATCACTTGATGATTACTTGTTCTGATCATTCCCTCTGGGGCATCTGGCATTGGCCACTGTTGGAAGACAGGATACTGGGTTAGCTGGATCTTTGGTCTAACCCAATACAGCTGTTCTTATGGCAAGTGGTGATTAGACTGAGAGCCAGCAACTGGGGAGGGGAAGGGGTGGGTGGGCTTCCTTCACTACCCAACTCTGCTCAGCTGCTAGCCCCCTTGCTTATATACTACTGGGGAGGGGAAGGGGTAGGTGGGCTTCCTTCACTACTCAACTCTGCTCAGCTGCTAGCCCCCTTGCTTATATCCTGCCTCCAAGCTGGAAAGTGCTGTATGCATTCCTATGGGTGTCCCCAAGTCAGCACAGCTATAGAGGAACAGGTAGGATGGTACATGGGGCAACCATGCCACAATGGATTGTGACTTATTGCTTTGCTTCTGTTTTAGCCCATTCAGCTCCACCTTCTATTCTGGAAATAGCAGCCCACTAAGTGCAGCAGATACTGCTGCCTTAAATGCTGCAGTCAGAAGAGACTATATGGAGGGCAGGGGCCCAGGTGGTTTTTAGGCTCACTAGCACCAGCTGGTGGAAGAACCAGTTTTCACTTTCCTGCAGACATTTCTGCTGCTGGGGCAGCGCCTGTGCTGAGTGCAAGAACAAAACCAGGTAAGAACTTGAACAGTTGTGGGTGTCCTCGATACAGTCACCTGGAAATGGTCTGATTTCCCAGAATGCACCAATTCGAGTGGTTGCTCATGTCCATTCCATGTTAAGTGTGAGCTTGCTAAATTCACTGGTGCCAGAAATTTTCCCTCGGTAGCATCCATAGGGGGCCAGCTCTGGTGCCCTCTGGGGTAGTGTGCATACATCACGGTATAAGGGGCGTCGCTGGCACCCATCACCCTCTTCCTTCTTGCTGCTACTGCCAGTGCTGGTACATCTGCTGCGTCGGCTAGCCTTGTTGCTTCATTCTGAGTTATACCTTTTCCCTGGTAAGATGCTCAAATAATTATCCGTTAGCATGTTAGTTGTTTTTCTTAGCTAGTACCAAATGGGACTCTGTCTCGGGCAGGACATATTTCAACCTCAGGCTGTGAGCCCTGTCATCTGTGCAAGCATGCCAATGAGCAACCCTCACAGTGGTTGGTGTCTGGCCAAGGGGCACACAAGTGACAAAAGGAGAAGAGCTGAGAACCATGATGGACAGCTTGGCATCTCGGCTGAGGCCTGAATCCCAGACAAACCGCAAGGGACACGCAAGTGACAAAGAAAAGGAGAAGAGCTGAGAACCATGACGGACAGCTTGGCACCCCGGCTGAGGCCTGAATCCCAGACAAACCTGCTAAACGCCACCAGTCCTTGAGGTCCCACAATAAAGACTTGTGCCACCGGGACGGAGCAACTGGTGCCACACGAAGAAGGATGGCCGGGCTATGCTGTCTTAGTTGCCTCTTACCCGAGCAGGAGTTCTTGGCACCAGGACAAAGCCACCACTAGGCATACCATTCACATCTTCAGCACTGCAATGGGTGCCCCTGGTCATGAGGTCGGTGACCAGCACCTTGATACCTCTGCAATCCCTGGGGGTATGTCTAAACTACATTCTATTTGCATAGTCCAATCTCACTTTCGAAAGCAGAGCTTTCAAAAGTTCAAGTCTGGATGTGTGTTGTGTTTTTTTTTTTTTGTTTTTTTTTTCAGGAAAAGACCTTTTTTCAAAAACCATGTAAACCTCCATTTTTAAGAGAGAGTGTTTTTTTTGATTTTTTTTTTTTTAACCCGCATCCAGCCTACTTTCACTTTTGAAATGAAGTGTTTTTTTTATTTTTTTTTAACCCGCATCCAGCCTACTTTCACTTTTGAAAGGTCTGCTTTTGAACATGAGATCAGAAGAAGATATTCAAATTCCATTTGCATATCCTCTTTTGAAAATTGAACATAGTCTAGATATAGCCTGGCGGGTTGCCTAGTCTTTGCAGGCTGCCTGGTAGGAATTGGGGACCCCCCAGGCTCATGATGTCTAAAAGTACATCCAGGGAATAGGGCAGAACCTATGGCACCTGGCCACCTTCTCATTGCTGGACAAGGTGAGTATGGATCCCCTTCCCCCAATTCCACAAGATGATGCTATGGCACATAAGGAACTTCTGAAGAGTCACCTCCAACACTGGACTCCATGCAGAGGAGCTAGAGGTGCCATTGGACACCTTTTGTTTGATGTCCTATGGTCCATGCCAACTGGTATGGTGACTGTCACTACATGAAGGTATTAAAAATTACTATTGCTCTTTTAGAAAACCCCCTCCTCCCTGTTCTCCCATTTCTCACAGGAATTTCTGAAGTCACCTCCAACACTGGACTCCATGCAGAGGAGCTAGAGGTGCCATTGGACACCTTTTGTTTGATGTCCTATGGTCCATGCCAACTGGTATGGTGACTGTCACTACATGAAGGGGTATTAAAAATTACTATTGCTCTTTTAGCAAACCCCCTCCTCCCTGTTCTCCCATTTCTCAAAGGGCTGCCCACAAATACTTTGTGCCAGCAGAGGCCTATGAGTATCCATATACCCATCCAACTCCAAACTCCCTTGTGGTTGAGGCAGTCAATCGGAGGGAGATGCAAAGTCAACCTGGACCCAAAGACTCAAAGGCTACATCTACACTGGCGCGTTCTCACGCAAAAACTCTTCCAGAAGAGAGCATCTACACTGGCATGTGCTTTTGCACAAGAGCATCTATGCCAGTGTAAATGCTCTCTTGCGCAAGAAAGCTCTGATGGCCATTTCAACCATAGTGCTTTCTTGCGCAAGAAATTCATGTTGCCTGTCTACACTGGCCTCTTGTGCAAGAACAGTTGTGCAAGAGGGCTTATTCCTGAGCGAGAGCATTAGAGTTCTTGCGCAAGAAGCACTGATTTCATACATTAGAACGTCAGTGTACTTGCGCAAGAACTTGTGGCCAGTGTAGACAGGCAGCAAGTTTTTGCGCAAGGGCAGCCGCTTTTGCATGAGATCACGCCAGTGTAGACACAGCCAAAGAGACTGGATTTGTTTAAACACAAGGGCTACGTCTACATTGGCAAGATTTTGGGCAAAAGCAATTGCTTTTGCGCACAATCTTGCCACCTGTCTACACTGGCCGCATGTTCTTGCGCAAGTAAACTGACATTCTAATGTGTGAAATCAGTGCTTCTTGCGCAAGAACTATGACGCTCCCGCTCCGGGATAAACCCTCTTGCGCAAGAGGCCAGTGTAGACAGGCAACATCAATTTCTTGCGCAAGAGAGTGTCTACGCTGGCACGGATGCTCTTGCACAAAAACACATCTTTTGCTCAAGGGCACATGCCAGTGTAGATGCTCTCTTACTCAAATACTCTAACGCAAATACTCTTGTGTTAAAGAGTATTTGTGCAAAATCTTGCCAATATAGATGTAGCCAAGATTTATTCCATCTTCTAACCTTCAACTGAGGGTGGCCAGTCACCAAGCTCTCCTTGGCCACTACAATTCCATGCTGTGGCAGGCTGTGGCTAAGTTTGAGGTGTCACTTCCTGAAGGTCTAAGAAGTAATTCAGAGAGCTTTCGAGAGGGCATAGCTGCAGCCAGAGCAGCCCTCTAGGCAGCTACAGATACAGAGGATGCTATGGCTCAAACTGGCCTCCACCATTTCCATGTGGTAAGCATCTTGGCTGCTTCTCTCTGGCCTGTTGGCAGAAGCTCAGCAGTCCATTCAGGGCCTCCCCTTCAATTGCCAGGCCCTGTTTTTGGAGCAAATGGACAGTAAGCTGCATAGACTAAAGGATTCCTGCACTATCTTGAAGGCCCTAAGACTGTATGTCCACAGTCCAGCCTGTAAGTGCAATGATCCTAGGACCCGGGGAGCCTGCACCAGCGGGCCCACCCCATGAAAAAAGTAGGGGTTACAAGCTCCACCTAAACCACCTGCCTACATCCTCTGCCCTGTCTGGCTCAACCGTCATAAGCAGGGTGCCAACTGAGTATTTGGTTGGTCACCCTCAGATGTGTCCTCCAAACTCGACCCAGGATCCATCTGTTCCCTGCTTCCCCAAAAACACCTTGGCTAGGTCTAGACTGGCAAGTTTTTCCGCAAAATCAGCTACTTTTGTGGAAAAACTTGCCAGCTGTCTACACTGGCCATTTGAATTTCTGCAAGAACACTGACGATCTCATGTAAGATTGTCAGTGTTCTTGCGGAAATACTATGCTGCTCCCGTTCAAGCAAAAGCCCTCTTGCGCAAATGATTTGCGCAAGAGGGCCAGTGCAGACAGCACAGTACTGTTTTGCG